TAACTTTTATGAATAAATAAATACATAAATACCATTAATAAATATAATGATTTATTWTTTTTTTTTTTTAAATTAAAATGCCTTATAATATATGCTTGTCTTGCTGCAGGTCCTAGTATACTATGGTCAATTTCTCCAGCAACTTCAACATCCTCCTCTTCTAGGTCTTCCTCTTCTTCATCACTGTCTGTATTATATTGATTATATTTTCGAGAGATGTTATGAAGTAATGCACAAGAAAGAATAATATTTACAGTTGTACCAGGTGCATTAGCAAGACATCTTCTCAAACAAGGAAATTTTCTTTTCCATATTCCAAATGTTCTTTCTATTATATTCCTTGTTCTAATCTGACACTTATTATATTTTTGCTCTGATGGTGTTACAGGATTTCTTAAAGGTGTAAACAAATAAGGTTTACATGCATAACCTATTGAAAAAAATGAGATATTTATTATAGAGTAGAAATTAAAATATTAAAAATATAAAAATATTTGATTCTTAAATTAGATAACTACATAACAAAAAAAAAAAATTTCTCAAGGCTCTTATCTAAAGAATAAATAAAAATTTAAATTATAAGTGCATTAAATATATAAATGCATTCAAACCTCCATCTCCAAGCAATAACACATGGTTTGTACTTTCAGAACAGTATTTGTTTGCATGACTTCCACTAAATATAAAGCTGTCATGGTAACTGCCTGGCCATCTTACAACTATATCTAAAAATTCCATTGATGGTCYACAAACAGCCTAGTATACAGACATACAATAGGTATAAAAAATAACTTTTAAATAAATAATTACTTATACTTTCTCTGTGATTGGGTTTAAAACCACTATCTATTTGATAAGTGTTAAATGATTAATGCATACCTGAACATTTAAAGAAAAATAGCCTTTTCTGTTTCTGAACACTTCTGAATCAGGACCTCCAGGATTTTGTATTTTTATGTGTGTACAATCTATGCATCCACCAATTCCAGGCATCTTGTACATTTGGTAAAATTTCCCTCTTATAATAGTCCATTCATCCACATTTCTAGGGAAATGTACATGATTTTTTACATTATTTGCCAACATTTTAGATATATTTTTAATTATTCTTGATACAGTTCTTTGGTCGATTCCTCTTAAGTCACCATTTACAATCTAAAATTGTAATTTATTGACAAAACTTATTTTACAAACAACTGAATGAGACTTAAAATGTGTGTCTACTTGAAAGTTTGAAGATGCATAAAAACGCAGTGTTGTTAGGAGTTTAAGAATAGGTGGGATGGGCAAACCACGATTATTATTGTGATGAATAGTAATTAATGGCATAATAATATCCATA